TCCAGCAAATGGAGACAGGTAATTTATTGCAGCCTTGAAGAGAGCAGCTTATTTCTCCACGCTTCCTGCCCAGCAAACTCTGTGAGCTGACTCATGGAGGGATGGGAAGCCAAAAGCTGTGCTCCCTCTTTCCTACCTGCTGCTGGAAGGCAGAGCAGCGGCGAAGCAGGAGCTGTGCTCGTGCAGAGCCGTTTGGAAATGCCTGGCAATATTAGAGGTTCACAACTCCCTGCTTTCTCTCCATACGATTTGCAGAGGGTATTCTCTCTACTTGCTTCCAGCAGAGGCTGGTACCAGAACCAGCAGTGCAGGTGGAGATGGTTTCAGTCCGTCTCTGGTGCTCCTTTCTCCCCCTCTAACCCCATGTGTGGGACGACGTTGCCATCAGAGCTGCAGAAGAGATACCAAGGATGTTACTGGTGCCTACAGCCAGCATTGATCCCTGGAGGGACCATCACATGGCCTAGTTTTGAGCTGTGACCTTGGTGCTTACGCATATATTTAACTTTACATGCGTGAGCTGTCCCACAAAAGCCAATGGCCTGCTCACATGTGTGAAGTCAGGCATGTGCTAAAGTGTTTTGCCAGATTTGTTTCTGTCTCTATAGGGGCTTTGGGTGAACTTGAACCTGTTTTGTTGGGGTGAGAGGCTTTAGATTTCATTATTAAGAATCTGATATGTTACTCTGTCTGAGTGCAAGGTCTTGGAGTTATCTGAAATTCTCATTAAGACAAGAAGCTAGGAAAAATACAAATTCCTCCACTAGTAAAGTTACTAAAAATACTATAATTAAATTATCTAAGTCTTAAAACTGGTAAAATATATTGAGAAGGTGTGGTAGAGGTATAAGTACAGTGTTTTTAGAGTACCAGAGGGACTAACAGCACTTTCTCTGCAGATCTTGAGCTGGAATATTTGGAGTAGTTAATGTAGCTGATGTAAAAAAGCATGTTGCATTTGCCCTACTCTTGATTCATAGGCTGTGACCCTTAATAAATTTTTATGTTGCACACAGCGGAGCTGTTGCTTTCAGAGAAAGCAAGGAAAGTAAGCAGGCAAGCAAGAAAGAAAAGGACCTAAAGAATGAACAAACAGGTTCTTTCATAAAGTATTTCTCAATTGAGATATTTCTTGTTAGGCTTAACTTGCTCAGGTTCATCATGTACCATATCTGGCAGCAGTCCTGTTAGTGGGGTTTTGAAAAATGGAGCCAGCTCTGTCTGGTATTAAAAGCATAAGTGCACTTTGGAAATGTATTTTCTGGAATATATTTCTGAGTAAAATACATTTCATGAAAGAAATTCCATTACTGATATTTTAGAATACCTAGAAGAGAGACTTATTTTATAGCCTGATACCATAACATACAGCTAGGGATCTTATTTTGCTCAGAGAGATGAAAACAATGAACTATAGAATACATACCTATAATGTGATCGTGACTTGTAACATTTCCATGAAATACTAAAAAAAAACCCGTCCACACTGGACTGCTTTCTTGTTTGCGTTGTTTTTTTCACGTCAGTAGACTTAAGCCCAAGTACCCTTGCTGACATGTTCTGAGCAGACTGCTGCAGATGAAAGACGCTTGGCTGGCAGAAATCCCTTTCTTAGAGGGGAAGAACTGGAACAAACGCTGTCCTGCTGCTCTGCTTTGGGATGCCGCCTCTGACAGTGATGGTCCGCTGACAGCGATGGCTCTCTGTGTGGCCTTTCGGACCAGGTCACCAGCAAGGCTGTGCCCTCTTGATAGCCTTTGAGACATGGAGCCTATCCACCTGGGGATTGTGTAGGCTGCCAGGCAGGTGGTGTGGGGAAGAAGGTATTTATTGAGATGCTTTCAAACCCTTCACTTCTCTCAGGCTCTTTTTGAGGGGAAAAATAGCAACTGAACATGGGGAAGGGTATCAGAAATCAGGCTTTAATAATCAGGTGGTTTGTTGAGCAAGGCACTCCTGTGGTGTGTTGCACAGTTTGGGGTGGAGAGGCAGGCAGCAATTTTTGAGATGCTGCTGTCCTTGTTTCCTTTTGGATTCATGTCAGCTTTCCTTTTCAATTTCCTAAAACCAGATGAATAGTGCTGTTTCACCACTTGCCTCCCAAGATTTAATTAATAAATGGCAGCACTCTGCTTTGAGCATGCTCACATGCTATGCAAATAGACAGTGATATTATTTCATTGGTACCCGCGAATGTCTCGGGACAATACGGAGTGCTCGTACTGGTAACGTAGCGTGCTCTGGCTAAGGGGCATTGCCTCCTCCACAGGGCTCTTGCTGTTTGTCAGGATGGCAGGGCATGGCCTGAGCGTGGGCAGGAGGATGCTTAGCAGGAGCCAGCTGCCCTGGCTCCATTGGCACCCCTGGAGTTAAGATAGTTCACACCTGTCAGTTGTCTTTCCTGGTTTCCAAGTGCCGGTTGCTGTGATCTGAAGTAGCTGAGGGAGGGAAGAGAAAGTCTTGAATGTTAAAACCTCAGAGATGTGTTCAGCATGCGTTCGTTCTTTATGTTGAGATGAGATCTTGCAGTCTGGATGTCACTGACAAAATCCCAAGTACTTCAGCTGGGATGCTGAATTCTACCTCTGCCACTGGGAAGTGATGTTTTCAGGAGAGTTTAAGTACCATCTTCAAAATTCAGTTAAACTTTTAAGAATAGCCTTTATAAATTAAGGTTCCTAGGTGTATTAACCACTTTTTAACATGGGTTGTGAGACTGTAAACTCTCTGGTACTGTTTAAAAATACATTCCCAGGCAACACATCTGTTTGCATTTGAAGATTAATCCAAACATGTATTTACAGAGTGCCGCCATGCTTTTCAATCACATTTGCATTTTTGTATCTAAAAATATATGTTTTCATATATGCAATTATTCCACGGAGGCCATTTGCAGTAATTACGTGTAGACATACAAAAGTCCTGTCTGTGAAGCACAGAGTCAAGTTAGGAGGAGATTGGCATGCCCTCTGGGGTGCCGTTATTGCTTTACCAGCCGTGAATGGTGAAGAATTTGCTCCCCGTTGTATATTTGACAATGAAACCCTTCTTAAATTCTTCCTCAGAGCCAAGTACAAGGCTGTCTTTTAATAAAAAATGTGTTTTTACCCATGTCTATATTTATTTCTTGCAGGAATG